ATTTTGAATTCTTTAAAAAAAACATACTATATGACTTTAAAAACTGGACATTATAGGGAATTAGAAGGAACTAAAGGTTACAATTAAAGAAGATAAAGACTTGACTTACTAATACAAAACGAAGCAAAATATTTTGACACTGGACATACTAAAGGATATTTTTGAACAATGGACCTAGAACTTAAGTGTCTGCCTCTATAAACAGGTTGTGTTTAAAAAGTACTATGATGGAGAAACATGTATTACTTTACATGATCGAGGCTGATTTGAAAGTGGATTTAAAAATGATAGCTACAAGAATTATGTTGGAAACCAGCTGATATCTTATAATTAAAATGGATATTACAAATAACAAACCAAAGGAGTGGGCTGGATACTTTTGAATATTGCACTTACAAAGCAGGCCTGTTAAAGCATTGAAGAACTTTGTGAGAAGAGACAAAGAAAAAAATCAAACAAATCACGCTCCAAGATATTATTTGAAGAGATTGATGGTTTTTTTTTAATCAAGTGTAAAATAGATATCTTGTTATCTCTGATTACCTTTAATGGACTTAGGCTTACATTAGAACTGAAACAAGGAAGCTTTATGGATTTGTTTGGGCTTGTATGGGGTATGGCAAGAAGAGATCATTTGTTGCATTTTAAGAGGTGATAATTTACTAAAATTGTTTATACTTGTGATAAAGAGTCAAGACACTTCTTTATATATTTCTTTTCTTTTTCTTTACTATATTCTTATTTTTTCTTTTATGCACCTTCCTTCTCTTTTTCTTTTTAATCTTTTTAGTTTACATTAATTTGTAATGTTATACATTGTAATCTTTAATAAAATTACTACTTTAAAAAAAGGAAACCATATCCCTGGAGTGGTTTAGTTCAGTTTTACTAAGGGCCTCTGCTTACCTTGGAGTGATACGTAAGAGCATTTTTGGCCACTGCACACTGCTTCTCCACCAGGAAACAAAATCGCCGCCTCTCTTCTGTGAGTGCCATCTTGAAACCATCAGATACATAGTTCTCCAGTTCACTTTGTTTATTGGTCATTGCTTCAATAAACTGGAAGAAAAGAGAGAACATGAAATATTAGAGGTGAGTAGTAACTAGCACGTTAATCACGATATGTGAGAGCTGCGGTGGGGCAGTGGTTAGAGTGCACTGCAAGCTACTTCCGCTGATCACCAGCAGTTTGGCAGATCGAATCTCACCAGGCTCAAGGTTGACTCAGCCTTCCATGCTTCCAAGGTGTGTAAAATGAAGACCCAGATTGTTGGGGTCAATAGGCTGACTGTGTAAACTGCTTAGAGAGGACTGTAAAGCACTGTGAAGCTGTATGTAAGTATGTAAGTAATATGAGCACACAAGCCTGAATACAGCATATTCCTTTGCAAACCTAACATCTATTCCAGTTGCTTGAGAGAAAGGAAGTAGAGAGAAAGAAGTAGGCAGCTGCCTCTTCATCAGTACCCTACAAGACTTTCTGAGAGATCCCTGATCTGGTGCTCAGCTGCAGCCTGGACAGCAGGGGGCACTGGGCCACAGAGCATAAGCCTGCTGAGAGAATCTCTCTCCTTCCCCCTCAGTAACATCCATCCTTAGTCATCTGACTTCCCTCACACAAAAGCTCCTGACTCAGTACGTGGGCTTCAGATGTTGTGTGGGTGGCAGAAGAGCAGAGAGATTCTTAGTCTCCCTCCTACTCCCTCTGCACCTGGATACTGCTAATTCTCTACTGCCTATTGCTATGAATCGACTTTGGTGGCTCACATAAGTTTAAAGAGCCTTCAGAAGGATTTTTTCCCCCCTACACTTCCTCCGTTGAGCTCTCCTTTGTAGGCTACTGAGAATCAGCTTCCCCTACTCTTTCTGAAAATCATAGAGGAAATTGAGGTCCTCCTCAAAGACCTGCGGGTGATGTAGAAAGGCTTCACGCTGTCCACTTGAACCCACAACTCCTCTCCTGTGAGAAGATGCAACAAAGTAAAAAAAAAAAAAAAAGACACCAAAACTCAAGAGCCCCATATCCCCCTTTAACCAAATAGCATCTCCTCATGTGAAGTCTTCAAACTTTGACATAAAGTCACCCACTTAATTCTGCAACCAATGGCCCGAGAAATCCACAATGCAATAAATTTCCTTTCTCACATTCAGGGGTTTCTCTGCACTCAGCACTTCCACGCTCAGTTTGAATAGCCTAAAAGTCTGGAATATCCTAAAGCATTTTAGATGTAAACCTTTGTGGCTTTAAAAGGTCATTAACTGCAAAAGAGTTAATAGAGCCCCCTTTTTATTGCATACACCAGCCCCTTGGGCAATCACTTGTGCCTGCTTTCTGGATACCCTCCCTCCCTCCTTCCTCACCCCAAAAGACTCTGCAAGCAGGTTGCTGATGCCATTTCAACAAAGGCTACTGTGAAAAAGGAAAATGCCTTTCCTAAGAGGAAGCCTGTTGCAGGATAAATACATATTAAGGAGCAGCACGCTTTCCTCCCATTAGTATTTATTCAGATGCCACATGTATATAGATTCAAACGTATTTTAGCCAATTAAAACAAATATATCAGCTACGAAGCCCGTAATTACCGTAGATGATGGTCCATTTCTAGCCAAGGACAAAAGCAAGAAAGGCAAAATCTTGAAAAGAAAAATAGCTCCAGGCTATTTTCCTCTGATATATGCAGTATAACCAAGCCACACTTTTAATTTCATTTCTGAATCCTTTTCTTTCCTCCACCATTCCCTGAAGAAGGTGGGTTCCATTCTGAAGTGACAAAGAATTGCTTTCCTTTCTGCCACCTCCTTTATGATATTAATCCAACATGGCTGCCTTTCCACAATAACTATAGAGCTGTCCTTGTAATACTACAATATACAAGCTTTTCGTCTTTGTGGAAAAGAGAAAACAAGGAGGAACTCAGTTTCCTTCCCAGGCAGCCATGATCAAGCCACTTAAAGCTTCTTTATATCGAGTTAAATCAATTTGTCATAACTTCTGCTTAATTACAGGTGGTCCTCAATTTATGGCCATTTAACCATAAGTTGAGGACCACCTTTTCCGAAGCCATGGTTATGACGGCTTCGGAAAAGGTGATTTACAACTTGTACTTGCACTTATGACCGTCACATCACCCGTCCAGTCATGTGACTGCAACTTGCGCCCCTGGCAACCAACTCGCATTTATGACCAGTGACAGCATGATCATGATTTGCTAACTTTTTTTTTTTTACTGATTTCCAGAAAAAAACACCCATTGGGGAAGCTGGAGTCCCTTAATAACCACAGTAATTTGCTTAATGACTACCATAAAAATGATCATAAAATCAGATTTGACTTATGACCGCAACTACTTATGACAAAAATTCCAATCCCAATTGTGATCGTAGGTTGAGAACTACCTGTATGTATTGTATTGTAAATTTGTTTATATTCATGCTGAACACCTTTGGAAAATTCTTGTTATTCACTATATCATGCCTCGCAGCATCAAGAGAAAGGGAGAAACCACACGCTTTTCCTTCTAAATTCACAGGTATAAAGTAGGCCTGTGAAACTGGTGGCCCGCGGACTGGATGCGTCATGCACATGTCACTCCTACCCCGGCTCCGCAAAAGCAAAAAACATCATGATAGGTGAAGATAGGTCACGTGATGCAATCACGTTTGACACTTGTGGTGTAGAGTATATATTTAGGATATGTTCCATTTGTATTATAGAACATTTACCCAAGCAAGGGTGCTAATTCAGTAGTGAATCCTCTGCTGGATCCACAAAAGATTGGAGTTTCAAGTCTCAACATCTCCAGGTAGTGCTAAAAAACACAGCCAGTCAATGGAAGTAGTACCATGCTAGACAAACACACTGATTCATAGATATCTTATTTGTGACGGACAAAATAGTTGCATTTCAAAACACACATCAAGCTAAAAACCCTTCCACAAAGTTTGAATTAGTTCACTTCAAACATCTGAAATCGCTGTTTCAAGCAGGTTGTGTGATTTGAATTGAGGTTTCACATATCCCTATCACAGGCTTTGCTGGCACTGACTGTTAGGTAAATTTGGCCCCTAAGAAATATTCTGAAATTCCAATTTTTTTTCCAGGGGAAAAAGGGGGGATATGTGCTTTATCAAATGGATTTTATTTCAGGAAGGAATTAACTCCAGCATACATTTCTCTCTGAACACCTGAGCTGATGTGCTTCCTTTTCAGCTGAAGGGATCCACATCTGCCATTTGTCTCTTCCTGCAGTGTCTTTGTACTGGTACAGATTCTTTGGAACATAACTTTTAATGTCTCTGCAATCACATTAGCAACTTTAATACCTGAGGGGAAATGGCAGAATTGCAAATAAAGGTTCCATTTTAAAAGATTTATTGGGTGGATATGAATATTCTATTTTCTCAGCGGAGAAAAGAAATGGGAATGGAATGGAAGTATAAAGTATAAAGCTTGAGACGTTCTCCCTTAAATTCCCAACACACTCAACAGCAGCACCCAAGCATATGCTACGTTACTTGTTTAAAATAGTGCAATAATTACAATACCAGCCTAAACCTGACAGGTCTGTGAACTGCAGACAATAATGCTTGCTTGTTTTCTCTGCCACTTGTCTAAACTCTGGCAACCAGCAAATGCATTAAGGCAAGATTTCTTTAAATCAAAGCAATATGTTTTGTTCCTTTCTTCAGTAGTGGGTTTGTCCCAGAAGGAAGTCACTCAAGGTATCATCATCCAATAATCTCACACTTCCCTGTTTATTTGAAAAAGTCTTAAGCTCACTGCTGCCAGGGCATACATGGAAGACATGGGAAGTGTAACTGAAAAGTGGCTACTGCCTGCACTCAGCTCCCTGAATAGTAGTCCTTTTAAGCCATCTCTTTTCCCCCAAAGTTTTACTCAAATGCAATAAGATGCCCTATTATGACTACTTTCTCACAAGGAGCAGAAATAATTAGAGCTTTGCTTTCCAACCTTGGGGTTTTTTTTTGGTGGTGCGGGTTACTACAAAGCTGAAAACTCCCAGCCTGTATGATGGGGTGTCGTGTTGGCTAAGAATTTTGGATATTTCAGCCCAATGGTTCTGGGTTATATTATATTGGAAAAGGTTTCAATGGTGAAAAAAGTAAGGTTTTACATTTAGGCAAGAAAAACAAAATGTACTGATACAGTATATTTGGTACTTGCTCAATAGTAGTAACTGTGAGAGGGATCTTGGAGTCTAGTGGACAACCATTTAAATATGAGCCAGCAGTGTGCAGCAGCTGCCAAAAAAAGCCAACACAGTTCTAGGCTGCATAAACAGAGGGATAGAATCAAGATCACGTGAAGTGTTTATACCCCTTTATAATGACTTGGTAAGTCCACACTTGGAATACTGCATTCAGTTTTGGTTGCCACGATATAAAAAAGATGTGGAGACTCTAGAAAGAGTGCAGAAAAGAGCAACAAAGATTAGGGGACTGGAGACTAAAACATTTGCAGGAACTGGGTAAGTCTAGTTTAATGAAAAGAAGGACTAGAGGAGACATGATAGCAGTGTTCCAATATCTCAGGGACTGCCACAAAGAAGAGAGAGTCAAGCTATTCTCCAAAGCACCTGAGGATAGAACAAGAAGCAATGGGTGGAAACTAATCAAGGAGAGAAGCAACTTAGAACTGAGGAGAAACTTCCTGACAGAACAATTAATAAGTGGAACAACTTGCCTCCAGAAGTTGTTAATGTTCCAACACTGGAAGTTTTAAAGAACATGTTGGATAACCATTTGTCTGAAGTGGTGTAGGGTTTCCTGCCTAGTCAGGGTGTTGGACTAGAAGACCTCCAAGATTCCTTCCAACTTTGTTATTCTATTCTATTTCTTCTGCTGTTAGGTATTTTCTTTTATTACAATGGCTGGTATTATAGCTTGGGTTGGTTAAACAATATCACCGTATCAAAATAAATGCAAGCAGTTTGAACCCTCATACATTAAAAATGTTTCCTTCCCTTGGCAAAGATCTTAAGGAACTTTTGATTTTGAGTTCTGTATTAACAAGGAACTCCTGCTGCAAAAGCTACTGG